ATGCATGTTTGCAGCTACGTCATCGAAAGTCAGGCCACAATGATGACTTAATCGCAACATTTGGCGACGACTTTTTTTGTTGTAATTTACCAGGGCATCCTTTTGCGTCAAATTCCGTTTTTCGCGCTTCAATGAGATTCTGTTGCTTTTGGCGCAACCAGAGAAGCGGCACACTAATAAAAAGTTTTGTTTCTCAGTTTTTTGCTTTCACTTTTGGCGTCACTATTCTTACCACAAACTCTCAAAATTATTGGCACATAGTAGAAATATATATATTTATACGAAAGAATGTGTTTAACTTAGCACCATAGAAGATAAATATTATTAAAAATGATCCTTTCGAGATTTCCAACTTAAAAAAAAAAAGATCAGAAACATCAAATTGAATGGGAATTGTTTATTTTCATTCAACATTCAGAACATTCTATGGCATTTATTTTTTGAGGATTTTCTCTTTCAAAAAAATTTCATCCGTTGAGTCAATGATGACTCGATGACTCCTTCGAGAACGGCTGCCATATTTTCTTGACTGCATGCTGAACGTAAACATGATAGCTTGGCTCGACTCAAGCGTGATCTGTCAAAAAAGGCCTTTGGAAACAGTAACGCTACTTAGTTAACCCGTTACTTTTGTTGGCGACAGTTTCCTTGATACGAATTTAAGGAAGGAGTTTCGAATTGAACATAATGGATGTACTTAGTACACGTGGTTTGCAAGAAGAAATAAAACGCAAATCAATTAATGTTATTGCTAAGGATTGTACTTAATTATAAAGATTTGCCTTTATGAAATAATATGTAAATTTTAATAAATTAATTATTTCGTTGGCTATGGCGCATCGACATTCTCCACGAGAGGCACGAAAAAGTCAATAATGATCGCTTTCTATTGGGTGTAGAATCTTTGCGGGTTACCTTTTTGAAGAAAGAAATCCCTCTGCCCATAGAGCAGACCAAACAGCGACTTTTTGAGGATGTAATCTCAGAATATCAGCGATGGCTTTTAAATTACCAGCGAGCAAATGCGCAAATTGTGTTACTAACGTATCCTTTCAACCGAAAGTGAGATTCATTGAAGAAAAAACTTTTTTTGTGAAAATCGTGATTCGTAGCCAAATCGTTTTGAATTATCTCATGATTTAATGCTGTCAGCCCACAAACCTTGATCCTTTTGTAGAATTATAAATGAAATAATGGACATAGTATAGCTCTTGCGCGCGAAAGTGGAAGGACACATACAGGTCTTCTTCGATACTTTTCTCCATAGCAGCAGTATATTCTTTGGTGCGCTTTATACGTCGTTTCTGAGGATCGCATTTTCCACTAGAGTAAATGTGGTGCGCAACCGATCCATGGTTTCTCGAATTGCCGTCTTTGCTGGCCGATTATATCTACCGAATGTTGGAAGCAGCGCGTGATGTGCGTGAGAGCCCAAATATTACTTTGGAAATTTGCACAATTCGCAAACGTTGTTTCGCAGATCATAATGAAATGGCAAATCAAATTTAGTAAAAATCAAATATCAGCTGTCAAAAAGGTGAAACAAGTATTGTTTATTTGAGAACCGCTCGTCTAAAAACAACACCCTAGCCATATTTCTATATCGGTGTGAATTATGGAAAGGTTGAGAAAATCAGTATGATAAATTGTTTTTGAGGCGAAATTTTCAGCAAAATCTTTTCTTTCGTCAACCAAATAAGTGAATTCAGATGAGGCGAAGTGTTTGTCCTGGTTTTACTTACTTCGTAACTTTATATTTTATACTTTCTTTACGCGAACTACTACGAAGTATTACAAAAGTAAAAGAAGCCACATTTTATATTCACAATTATATAAAAAAGCTGTTTTTAATGAAAACGTGCATTTAGTGCAACAAAATTGCTTGTATTGAGTTAAACTTTTGCTACTCACAGTTCCCAGTAAATTTGATTTCCGACGCAAGAAAATTATTGCAGCATTTGTTACTTTATAAGTTGAACGAAGCCATTAACAAAGGAGACCAGCAGTAAGTAAGGAGAGGCTAACTTCAGGTGTAACAGAACATTACAAATATTCTTCCGATTTGCTATTGAAATCCGCACAGATGTTGATTAACCTTTAAATTAAAAAAATGGTTGCTATACTAAGCCAAGATGGTTTCAGAATTCAAATCATATTTAGACCGATTTCACTCATATGCAATATTAAAACAAATTGTGTTTAGGAAAATGTGTTCAACTCACTTTATAAAAATGTTTTACTTATTGACTAACGTAAAGAGTAGAAATTCAGCTGGAAATCACTAGTACATCAGGTATATTGCGACAGAAAGGAAATATGAACTGATTGTTTTACTCGAGCGTACTCAAAGACATCATTGGGCGCAAAAAAGATAACTGATACAATGATTGACATGACCAAATTCGGTCCATAACATTTTCCGAACTGCTTTATTTTTTAATAATCGGACTACAAATGGTCAATTAATCATAATTTAACAAGTCTCTACATGGCGAATATGTGGACATGAGTTCTAATAATTGAGTGAAAACCGAGTTTAGGCACTTTTACACAATTTTAATGTAACGAATATTGTACATTATAGCATATACTTCTATGCACAATAAAAGCAAAACTTTATTCATAACTTTAAAATTCTTAATTTATTCCTCAAAACTTATGTCGTCCCCCTCAAAGTAATCCCGCTTGGCACAAGTGTATTTACCAACGTTTTTTCCAATTCTCGAAACAGTTATTAAAATCAATTTCCGGTATAGCCTTCAATGCGCGTAGCGATTCTGAATAACCAGAAGTCAGTCGGAAGGCTTATCACAGACGTTAATGAATTGTGTTTTCGAAAAATTAAGTGAGTATGAAACCAATCGATCTTTTATTTTTGCTAAGACCAAATGATTTTTCAAAGTGATTTTTACTCATCCTTCTGTTATACCAACAATACCAGTAAGATCTCTGATTGTTAATACAATGATTAAATCGATCGGATATTGGATCGTACCATTATTTTGGTATTGAATATGAACAATTTTCAAACGTTGTCTTGAAATTATGTTCATTAAGAATTGTGAAGGCAAACTGAAAAAATAATCCAAGAAAAACTTCGGCGGCACCAAAGCTAATATACCCTTCGCAGGTGCATTTATTTTAGTAACTATGTGTTCAGTTCGTATCAAAGCTAAATGCTATTTTTTCGGAGATTATATTATTTCCTTAAGCAGTAACCCATGTCAAATTTCGTGAAGATACCACGTCAATTGCGAAAGTTTCCCATGTAAGTATTTGATTCCGATCAATTAGTTTATATGCTAGCTATATGCTATATTTAACCGACCTGAACAATTTCTTCGTACAGTACATTATTATCTTAGAAAATAACCTGTGCCAACTTCTGTGAAGAAACATTGTGAAAAGTGAAAGTTTTCCATACAGGAACTGCATTCTGATCGTTCAGTTTGTATGACAGCTATATGCTATAGTGGTCCGCTATCGGCAGTTCCGACAAATGAGCAGCTTTTTGAAGAGAAAATGAAGTTCATCCTTTCATAACAATATCTTTAAAACTGAGAGACTAGTTCGTATATATACGGCCAGACGGACATGGCTAAAACGACTCAGCTCAACATACTGCTCATTTGTATATATTCTCTACAGGGTCTCCTACGCTTCCATCTGGGTGTTACAAACTTCGTGGCAAACTTAATATACTCTGTTCAGGGTATAATGAAGTAATAAGGGTATAATGAAGTACATATATTGTACGTATGTACTCGTATATTGTAAGCACAGGCATATTTTACAGAATCGATTATCTGAACCATTCAACTCGAAAAAATGCGCCAATATCAAGTTTTACGCCCTTTATTTAAATTGACTGATTAAAGAAACTTAGCAAAAGTTATGTGTTTGTCTGCGCGAAACTTATTTAGAGACAATGTAAGTATTTTGAAAGCCGATTGGTTATTTTAATGAAGGTAAAAGAGCTCCCAGCTTTTAAAAGGCTTAACCAAATCATTATCTAAACCATTTTCGAACACAACAAACCCTTGTCAAAAAGATTGTTAATATTAAATTAAGCAATGCCAATGAATAAACTTGCTTTTTTGCTTAAATATTTACAATGGCTGCAAATATTAAAGTTGACACTGACAGCCAAAGTTTTCAAAACCATACGCCACGTTTTAATGCACCAAAACCTTGAAACTGATAACAGCAAAGAAGAACAAGTAACGAAGGGCTAAGTTCGTAAAGTGTAACCGAAAATTACAGATAGGATTACTGCAAATTTGTACACGGGATCTCAATAGCAAATGACGACTGTATGCTCAAACTATTAAGTCCGACACCATCCAAAATGAGCAAAACTATGGTAAATGAGCAATAAATGGTAATGAAGTCAAACGATGACAAACTCCCGAATAGCTACTGGTTTGAAGAAATAATTAAAATTAATTATCTACAAGTGTCTGAATTTTTTCTGTCAAAATACAGAGTGAAAAGCTTCACACATTTTATGCAACCTGCTTACAGACAAATTGAAACTACTTGCATCGATATCGAATGGGCAAAGTGAATATTTAGTTGACGGATATTTTTCACTTCTGCGAACTTACATTGCAGACGGCGCTGAGAACCGAATAGACCATGAATTGCTTACTTAATGTAAATTATAGTTTGTTAGTATGCATATGTCATACTATACATCCAGCGAAATGTGGAAACCGAATAATTACGGTTTTCGCTACCGGATATTAGCATTAAGTATTTATGTATGTATGTAAGTTTTTTATATTTACTGCAGACATATAATTTGCAACTTCATTGATATATAATTTTTTTAAATTAGATACCACGTATACGATTTTGATTCGTTCAGCTAAGATTACTTATTGAATTGTATGCAATCATAGTTAAATGTAAACATTTTGAATAAAAACGGTAAATAATAATTTCTTGCACTAGTCTATCGCCTATTACGAAACCAAGGGCTTTGCTCCTTCGCGGCAATGTACAACGCAGCAGAGTTTGCAGAATTGAAAAACAGCAATCGCTTCAAAATAAGAGAACTTAGAAAGGTGTCATACATTTTAGGAATAAACTATGGCTCGGAAACGTCACTGAAAAAATGTCTTAGAGTGTGAGTTGAAAAAAATTTGTATGAGTACTTGTTATATTCAAATCTATTTTGTTGTAGGATTTCATTCTGAATACAGAATTTTGCAAAATTTAAAAATACAAATTGTAAAATAAAGCAAAAAGATAATTGAACTTTTCTTAGGCTTAATCTGTTCCTTATCATCACATGTGGCATTTCATTGTATCCACGATGGTTGATGCTAGAAAGGGCTGATGGCAATGTGCCGCTAATTGCAGAGGTACGTATATATGAATACCAAAATCTTCCATTGTCGTCTTCCCTAATTCATGCAAGAAATTAACAAATCCTAGATAAAAAGTAGTATCTAACACAGCGAATTTTTGTTCTCGCTAATAGCGGATATCTGACATGCACCCATCCGATCGTTTTACTCAAAAGTACCCTTTACGCTAGACACGAGCACTGGTCTTTATTCATGTGAGTTTAAAATTAATATTTGGCTGTTTCCGGATTGTATAATCTGTACAGAGTATATTAAGTTTACCACAAAGTTCTAAACATCTAAAAAGAAACGGCGGAAAGCCAAAAAAATATATAAATAAATAATTAGTATGACGAGCTGAGTCGATTTGGTCATGCCCGTTTGTATATACCCGAACTAGTCCCACCGTTTTTGGTCAGAACCGTCAATACTAGATCTCTATAGCATATAACTGCCATATAACCTGAACGATCAGACCAGATTTAACTATTTTGTATTTGTGTAGGATATTATAGCTATTTGTTTAGCTTGGCTGGTCAAATTTAATATTGTTTTTGATCATTGCCGAAAGTTTCAAATAATGAAATAGGCACATTTCTATTCAAAGATACACCCTGTCAAGAAAGTATCGTGAAATCTTTATTTAAATCTTCCGCTTATATGGAAGACAGTTAAATGTTTTTTCCTAGATTGGTAAACTGTCCTTAATTATGATGCCAAAAATAAGCACGATCTGTCAACTAATGTGTTGACAGCAGCTGTTCATATCAGTCGTGCTCAGTAGTGTTTGTCGAATTTTACAATGACCGAAAATATTGATCAACGTATGTATTTGTGTTAAATTTTGTCATGCGAACGGATTTTCGTGTGCCGATACATTGAAAAAGTTGCAGAAGGCTTTTGGTGAATCTAATGAATATCAAATACGCGCACTTACGAGTGGTATAGAGCACTCAAGGAGGGTCCGGAGACCGTCGAAGTGTGACCGATGATAATGTTGAAAAAGCGAAGGAAATTGTAGCCGAAAATAGACACGTAAGCTTCAGCGAGATTGCCTATTAATTCAAGATGTCACACGTACGATTATGTACGAAAATTAGGGCATGCAAGGCGTTGCTGCAAGACTTGTGTCGATAGAGCTGAATTTCCTTCAAAAAAGGTATCGAGAGTAGGTAACTGCTGGACATGCCGGATCGATCCAATTCGGATCCCAACTTCATGGAACACATAATTACCCGGCTATTAAAGGCCCGAGTTTGTGGGCCAACAATTCGTGGATTCCTCATCATGATAACGCATCATCGCACAAAGCCATCATAGTGAATGAATTTTTGTCCAACCACTCAGCAAATATCATTGAGCAAGCACTGTATTCACCTGATATGATCCCCTGTGACTTTTTCTAATTATCCATATGAAATATCCACTTCGGAGAACACGCTGCCTATAAAAGATGTTTTGACGATTAGCGTCGGCACATGGGCATCGCTCAAATGGATGTTACTTTGAAGGCAACAAAATAAATTTGGGTGATGATTGAAAAGTGTTCGTTTTATTTATAAGTTCCCGATACATTCTCGACAGGGTGAATGTTTAAAACTACTAAAATTGATTGAACTCGCTAAAGAAAAAGCCAGAGGCAATAAATTTCTCAGTGCAGATGAAAAGGATATAATGCATGGGACACATTGTAAAAATTTAACAATGGGCGTGATGTAATTTTTTCTCTAAATAAGTATGTATTAATTTCATTTCTTATTAGCGATAAATTTAAAGTGATCCATTTCGTGAGGCCCTACTTTTTTTAAAGAAAAAACGCAGAAACTTCAAATTTAATGGGGAATATTTGTTAACATTCAAAAGAACATTCTTTGGCACTTATTTTTGAAAATTATCTCTTTCAAACGTTGGCCGCTGCTAAGTCTAAGTTGGTCCATCCGTTGAGTTAATTTTGCGATTTCTCGTTCGAGCATTTCGTCTGGCAACTGGTGAATGATATGCATGATGGTTTACTCGAAGACCTGAATCGAAGCGGGACTGTCCGCATAGACTTCAGACTTTACATATCCCACAGGAAAGGTTTATCATACGATCTTTGTGGTCAATCGGCCTGCCTAAAACGTGTAATTATCTGGCCACCGAAGTGTTTTCTCATTAAATCCATAGATTGATGTGTTGTGTGGGAAGCGGTAAGTAGATCCCTACTTGGATCACCTTTCCTTTTATGCCTATAGTATGATGGTGAATTTGTTTAATAAGTACTTTAGTGAAGTTATGGCATGTTTTCGTGGCCACAAGAAGACTTAGCGTTATATATGGATAAACCGATTCAGACTTAAGCTAAGCCACTGCATCCCCTACGTTCTATTTCCATCTCCCATATACTTCACTTTATACATACATATGTACATATGTATATAAAAATGAATCACAAAATGTGTTGCTAAGCGCATAACTCAACAACGCCTAAACCAATTTGACAAATTATTATTATTTTTTTAAATGTTTGTTGAAGAGCAAAGGTAGTTTTTACGGCGAGAAAAATTCTAATAATTGCCGGAAACCTCTAAAAGCAGCCCTTTTCTTTTGCGCATGCAAACGTTATATAAATATGATTGTTTGTTTGTTGGTAACGCTAAGAGAACGGCTGAACTAATCTTGATGAAATTTTCAGAGGTTGTTCGTTGTGGATCGGGAAAGATTTAGAAATAAAAATACTTTATACTTTTCTTAAGAAAAAGTCGGAAAATTCGACAATTTCAAAAAGTAATTTTTTTCCATACAAATTTTTTTTTCCAATTTTTCTTTGTTTTGGTTTTCAATATTTTGATTTGTAAATTATTTGAAGTTCAATTTCGGTCGCTTGCTTTTTTATTCCGGCTATTCAAAAGAAAAATTATTGAAAATTATTTAGTGAAGACTTGTTTCACACAAAGTGATCAACTGCAGGTTAAAATTTGTTACGAAGCCACGAAGAGGTCGCGCTAATATTGGTCGGCGTTCTTTTTGCCATCAACGTATGACAACTCAAGACACATGAACGAGCACTCCCAGAATGCGATGACATACGTGTGGAATTATGGATCGTGGTCAATCAGCAAGCGATCTTTACGATGTCAAAGCACGACCTTTCAAACAACAGCTATGATGTTTCATGGACTTTGTCTTGAAGCAATGTATGGTATATATGATGCTGTTAGATGCTGGTTGTACATATTCTGTTGAGTAGCAAAAAATAGGTTTGCACACATTGTTCTTTGGATAGTGATTACACCAGTCCAAATTCACGAAAACATTTCTGCGGAAATTCCTGATACAGAGATAGATCCAGAATTAGATATACGAAGTGGTGAAAACCAATATGGTTCATGGACAAGGGCAGAACATTCAGCATTCAATCTAGAAAAGTGAATATCAAAGTTGACAGCAGATGGATCGTACCATATTTACCACTGTTGTCTAATTCACAGTGAAAACTCATATCAATGTTGAGTATTGCAGTTTGGTGAAATCGATAAAATACGTTTGTAATTACGTCACTAAAGGAAGCAACATGGCAGTTATTGGTCTTGAACGAGATAATAACAGCAAGTATCAAATGGTCGTTACGTGAACTGCAATAAAGCGCTTTGTAGGGAATTTGCTTTTGCCAAAGAGTGTGTTTCAACCCAGAGAATGCAGTACAGCCAGTGGGAACACCGCCAGCAACAAAATTAACATTGACGAGTTTTTTCTCAACTTACGCAAGTGATCCGTTTGCGAGAACGTTGCTCGGAAATAACTTGATAATTAAATATTATACATGGAATGCATCGTCGAAGAAATAGTTACGCAGAAAGCAAGACTAACCAGTAGATGGACATCCAGGTGTGTTCTCAACAAATGCATTAGGTCGAATCTACACAATCCATCCGAAAAAGCGCATCTACCTTCGGTTGCTATTGATTAATGCATGTGGTTCAACTTTATTTGAGTCATTGCTAGCTACTTCGAATGCAAATGAAGTTCGCACACTTTTCGCGATGATCATTTCGACATATCAGTCTTAAAATCCGCATCAATTATGGGATACGAACAAAAATAACATTGCCGAAGACATTTTACATCGTTTTCGCTAAGAATTGGAAATGGGTTAATTTCGGTTGTTAATTCCGGTGGTTTGATATCAATTTCATCTCATTCATTCTCGAAAGATAAACTCATCACGAATATTCGGACAAAAATACCGATGTTGTTGACTTAAATTGGAAGATTCAAAGCCAAATTCCGGGAGACTTGCGCTCATACAAATCGATCGATCTTCTGACGACGACGACGTCGTGAATTATCCAGTGGAATTTCTGAATTCTTTGCAGAGGCTTAGTATGCCACCAGATCATTTGCGTCTCAAAGTTGGATCTGACATTATTATGTTTCACAATCTTCATGCGCCGAAACTGTGTAATTGTGTAATGGAACCCAACTGATTGTGACGAAACTATCGAATGCAAGGGGACAGCCATTTCAATTCATACGTATTCAGTTTCCAGGGAAAATTACATCAACAGGGCTCCTGGATAGTCGCTAGAAGAGTGTGGCATAAGTCTGGAAATGCTATGTTTTTCACATTGCCAGATATACGTGGCGTATTAATGAGTTAGAAACCTATTTTCTTTTTACGCACCAGAACAGAAACCAAAAAACTTTGGTTATAAAGCTGCACTACATCAAAAAAAAAAAAAAAAGTAAAAAAATCGTAAATAAATGGTTTTCAACACAATATAAATTCTACTTTCTTTACCTTTCAAAACACATAATTCACGCAGGACAACAGCTGCGGGGTCAGCTAATACTTAATGAATAAATTTGCTATCATTGTTACATAGTACGTTTTCGATTAATAGTATTTTCTTATTATTCTTAATCAATTATTAGGCTTTTGCTCGATTAAAGCGCTAATTTAGATCAATTTACCATTCAAAATAAAAATCTCATTTTACTTCATTAATTGTTAATCGAATTGAAATTGAGTGGAAACTGAAATTCAACAGTGCAGGTTGTTGTCCACACTATTTATTTGGCTGTGGTGTTGTCTGGTTGTTGCGCTGTAACCCGGAATTCAACTCGTCGTTCTGTTGCTTTTTTTTGTACGCTTTTGTTCTCATTCAGGCAACATTTTTTTCGCAGTTGGTCTTCTTAACAGCTATTACTTGATTTGTAGTCCGTTTGGTTTTTCATTTTATAATGAACAGATTTAGTCCGGAACAACGTTTGAAAATCATTAAAATTAATTGCTAACATTAAATTCGTGCGACGCATCGCGCGCTGCATTCAATATTTGGTCGACTCAGTAATTGATACAAATGGTTTCGTATTATTGCATCGCAGAAGTTAGCGCATGTCACAGTTTCATAAGTTTAAAACTCACATTCCAAATGACATTTTTTTGCAGACCATCACTACCATGTTACAAACAACTACAACCATGGTCAAAATGATATTTTGCCTGTTCATGCAAAGTCAGTGTCGTGCATTGCTTATGAAAGCTGAAAACTATGAACTACTTCAAGGAATTAAAATCTTCGAGACTGGTTTGTAAAATTTCAACAATTGGAACTTCTTTACATCTCAAAAACTTTCAGATATGGACATCAAAGCCGAGTTGAAAGTGGAGATTAACGCAATTATGGCAACTATATGGAAGGAATCAAGGCGACAGCTTTTAAGCTGTCTCATAACTTGTTCGTGCATTCTTAGCAACTATTTTCTCTACGCCTTTTTCACTAACTTGTATCATCAAATAAAGAGGACACCGAATTATGTGCATATATTACGTAAATATTGTTGAAGTGTAGATACATATACACATATAGTTTTAATATTATTTTTTGCGACTTGACCATGTATATATGTAGATTCAAGGGTATTGAGTCAGCATCTACCTATTGCTGTGCTCGTGTTCGCATAATAGCTAGTTTGCTCAGGAGGCTATATTCATGATAAACAAGTATATGTATCTTTGGGGATTTTTTATAGGCGTTTGTAACCACCCAATAGAAACTTTGTTGAGACATTCCTGTACCTTGTCTACGATGTCTTTCCTTGCCACTGTTTTTTATGCGTAGCAGCTCCTTCATGGTGTGCAGTGTGTGCGATTCAGGGTTTCATTCACAGTATCCTTATAGCTGCAGAGCGGGCAAGGTGGTCAACCAGCTCATTTTCGGCAACCACTTTATGGCCTGGTACTCAGATGAGGTGAACTCGGGTACAAATCGTCGTTCTATATCTCCTGCACCAATACCAACACAGCAATACAATACGTTTATTGCAATTGTTGAATTGAATTTCTATAGTTGAGTTTCTATACACTATTGTTTGGAATAAGCTCGGAATTCCGCCTATTTGCGGATTTGTAGAATGCATGGAATCCGAGATGCTTTGGCTTTAGTCTGGCGAAAGTTGGATAGTGGAGGAGAAAGTGTATCCCCGCGTGGAGTCTGCGAGTGAAATCATGGTCTAGCCATCGGCCAATTGGCCTAATTTATGGTATGAAGTTGAAGTAGTATTATTATAATATTTATCCGTTGATAAGGGGACATATTGACCCGGTCCCATTTAGAAACATTAGCTTCTCATATTGTGTATCTAAATCTTTGAAAATTTATAGTCTGATTATAATTGTATTTAGATGAAAATTAACGCAGCTTTATGTTTATGTTTCAATATTTCTTCTAGAGCTTCTTTTATATTTTCGTAAAGATATCAGACGATATTGGTTGCCAGGTTACGTTATATACCAAATTATATTGAGATTTGCCGAAAAAACGCCGATTGTCGAGTCATTTCTAATTGCTATAAAAGTTTACATAAGCTTTTCGTATTATCTCTTCCTAAAAGCCTTCTGCCCCCGACAGTTTATTTATCAAAGAAATTCTTTTATATGATGATTACTACTACATTTGATCAATTTGTCTTAGTGTGGTGAAGTTCTAGACGGAAATGTTACTGGCAAGTTCGGCTAATACTCTGTCATTGTTATCTCTTGCTATCTCTCTCGATCATTGTTGTAATATATGATCTATTATATACTATATGTATATCTAAATTTGCCATTTTAAGGCTCCTCATTCAACTGCAAGAAGTGTAATTACAATTTAAATAAATACAATAACTATACTCGTTCGTTATTAACCCATAGCTTTCACTGGTTACCCCATGTTTCTGGAGAAAGGTATGGCCTCGCCTTATTATGCAGTGGAAATGTTCATCGGTGGCTGTTCACTCCTCACCTGTGGCATGTGTGAGCGTGCAATTATGCATTTGTATTGAATAAAAACGTTATGTTTTAGTGACAATTTCAGGTTCCGTCAGCTTTCATTGCATTTTTATGATCCTCAGCAAACATGCTTGCGGACTAGTTAAGGTGCTTTGCGCTATGCTGCTACAATCCACCTCACCCGTAGTGCCAGCACATCGGCGTGAAGAATATTTGCGTTACTGCGTTATCCAACATCAACAGACTTTGCTGTAAGTTAAATATATTCTTTAGATATAAGTATATATACTATATTCCAGCGGAATTAAACTTATTTGGGAAATATAAAATTTAAGGAAAATAAATTTTTAAAATATAGACACTTTTAATAAATTTCTATTATTTGGGAAAGTAATTTTTTTATTTTGGTAGATTACCGATTACTTCCAGCAAAAAACCGCTTATAATTTTGCGTATACAAAATATTTTGATAATTAATTCTACGGAATCTTTTCAGGTTTATAAATGACATCAATGAGCTCTTTAAGCACATTACACTTTCACATTTCCTTCATAGTTTGGCGATTTATGGACTTGTGCTTTTTGAAATGAATTTTGGACTAGTGAGTATTATCGAAAATAATTTGCTGAATACCAAGTGTGTAGTTCCACTGTTGATCAAAGTTGGAGAAATATCTTGAGTTGTTGGCAGAACTTTATATAAATATGTAAAAATTCAACAATTATTACTCGATCATGTTTGATATCACCTAAAGGTAGGCGGCGCCACAACTACCAATTTTTATACGAACTTTGATGAAGCCCTTTCGTTCTTTTATATATTGAGTGGTTTTCATCATAATGTTTATATGAGAAGTTTCCAAGGGTAATAATCTGATTTGTTCCATTTTTATATAGATGGAGAAAGTGCAAACAGTTTACGCTCTTGGCCCTTTCAGTTTTCCACTTCCACTCTGGTTTCGAAGCATTTTTTCGCTAAAGCAGTCTCTTTCATGAGGCCTAACCAGCGAATTCGTTGGATATTTATTCCGTGTTGCCGTAGAGCCTGTACAGTCTGTGGTCTCTTTTGCTATATTCATAGCTCACGCAGAAAGCTCAAAAAATCTGTTGAAGACAGTCCTCTCGAATGCTCAAAATGCTTTTTTTTTTTTTTTTTTGTTTTTTTT